AAAATGTGGCACAGTAGGGATTGGGGGCTTATTATTAAATTGTAATTAATTTAAGCAACCAAGGAGTTTTCAGGGTCCAGGCGTGGGGGGGAGTCTCAGTCTATACACACAGAAAGGGGTTCCCCAGGGCCCCTTTCCCAGTTTCTGAAGGCTGATAACTCTAAACATATCACCCTCCCCCCAAGTTCAACTACACCTTAATGTGTGCCCCACAGCCAAGTTCCCAGAATAGAGAAAGTGCAAAAAAGACCCTGGGTGTTTGTTCTCCCCAGAACCGCAAAATCAATTTTGACCGAGAGAAGGGCCTGGTGGAAGTAATCATCCAGAACTTGTCGGAGGATGACAAAGGGTCGTATACTGCTCAGCTCCAAGACGGAAAAGCCAAAAACCAGATCACCCTGGCCCTGGTGGATGACGGTCAGCCATGCCCTGCACGCCCCGCCCCGCCCTGCACCCTGGCCTCCCCGTGGGCTCTCAGCTCTCTGCTCCGGGGCCTGCTGAGCACCCCCAGTCTTCTGTCCATCGTCTGTCCGTCCCTCAGCTCATGCCAGCCCCTTCCTACGTGTTCACAGATTTTGACAAACTTCTGAGGAAGGCAGATGCTAAGAGACGAGACTGGAAGAGAAAACAGGGTAAGAGCTGCTGGGGTGAAGTTCAAAAGCCTTGGCCACTGGTCAGTGCTGGAGAACTGCTGGACAGGGGGGTTAATGGCCACCCCGCCCCACCAGAGAATTCGGTCCAGTTCTCTCAGGTGCCAGAACAAAACAGCACTTGCCTGACCTTGAGACTGAGCGTTTCCTTAAATGTTGAGCCCTAAGCAACCCCTTGCCTCACCCCAGCCCCGCCTGGTGGGAGCAGCACGTGAGCAGCCGGGGGGTGGTCAGCTGTCCCTCTCCAGCCGGCTTCTCCCCGCTCGCCACCAGGTGGCGCCCTGGCAGAGCCTGGCGCGCTGACGTGTGGGCGTGTTTGGTTTGTACTCGCAGGTCCCTATTTCGAGGAGCCTTTGCAGTGGAAGATCACGGAGGACTGCCAAGTGCTGCTGACGTGCAAGGCAAGTCCCCACCCTGCTTCCAGCCCTGCCTGCCCAGGCCCCGTGGAGCCGGACCTGCAGCTTGTCCCCTCACCCTACCCCCCAACCCCCACACCCCACATTCCGTCCTCTGTGCTTGGCTGAACTCTTACCCGGGAAGTGGCCCCAGGGGGATCAAATTTAACCCGAAAAACAAAGCCACCTTCACAGAANGCCCTGGCAGAGCCTGGCGCGCTGACGTGTGGGCGTGTTTGGTTTGTACTCGCAGGTCCCTATTTCGAGGAGCCTTTGCAGTGGAAGATCACGGAGGACTGCCAAGTGCTGCTGACGTGCAAGGCAAGTCCCCACCCTGCTTCCAGCCCTGCCTGCCCAGGCCCCGTGGAGCCGGACCTGCAGCTTGTCCCCTCACCCTACCCCCCAACCCCCACACCCCACATTCAGTCCTCTGTGCTTGGCTGAACTCTTACCCGGGAAGTGGCCCCAGGGGGATCAAATTTAACCCGAAAAACAAAGCCACCTTCACAGAGCCCAGGCGGCAGCATGAGTGTGAGGTGCGTCAGCCTTGAGCTGGATCTCCCAATGGTTCCAGGAAGGGGTTCCATGGGGCCGGGGTGCCTGGGAGCCAGCAAAGGGTCTGTACTGGAAGAGGTTTCTCTGTGTTTATAATTAGCCTTGCCAGACACTGCTCGGTGCCTCGCAGTATTATTTTACTTCATCTGCCTTACAATCATCTGTGAGATAGGCATTATTATCCCCACTTTGTGAATGAAAAAACAGGTAGGGAAATAGCTCAAGACCACAGGGTAAGAGGTAGAGCCCAGGTTTTAACCAAGTCTGTCTGACTCCAAAGCCCAAGGTCCTTCTCAGCATGCTGCAACCTCATTAGGTGACTGGAGAAGAGCTGGGTGGGGTGGGTACTCCCCCAGAAACATGCATTCCGTGAACTTAAAGCACACTCTGCAAGGCACTGAGCATGCAAGGATGAAGAAGTGGTCTCCTTAGGCCTCCAGGAGCCCACGGTCCAAGGCAGGATCATTAGAAAACAGCATGTCTCATGCTTGATCCCGATATGTGCAGGAAATCTATTAATCATGATGGGAAGGACACTCTGAGGTGCTTCAAGGAAGTCTTCCTGGAGGAAGTGATATCTGAGTCTTTAAGAAGCAAACGTATTTATTTTTAAAAATAGAGTAGGGGGGCCAGCCCGTGGCTCACTTGGGAGAGTGTGGTGCTGATAACACCAAGGCCACAGGTTCAGATCCTATATATAGGGATGGCCAGTTAGCTCACTGGCTGAGAGTGCTGCTGACAGCACCAAGCCAAGGGTTGAGATCCCCTTACTGGTCATCTTTAAAAAAAAAAAAAAGAGTAGGGAAGGGATCAAAAGGCAGAGGAAACACCATTAGCAAAAGTTCAGAGTCCAGAAGCCAGCAGAGAGGGTATGAGAGAGGTGTGGGCTGAGATTTGGCCTGAGAGTATGTGTATATGGGGGTGGGGATGGGGGAAGAAGTCATGTTTGTAAATAAAAAGTTCTGAGGAGCTGAGTTTTTACTTAAAAAGAGAGAAAGCCTAAAGTCTCATTCCCCACCTTCCTCAGGTGACCAACACCAAGAAAGAGACTCGCTTCCAGTGGTTCTTCCAGAAAAAAGAGACGCCAGCTGGTCAGTATGACCCGCAGACTGGAGCAGGACTCCTCCTCATTGAAGAGGTGAGTGCGCTTCTGGCTTCAGAGCTCACCCCTTCCAGCAACTCGGCAGGCCGGGCAGTGCCTCGAGCACCGGGCTAGGAGTCAGGAGCGGGGCCAAGACTAGGTTGGGGCAAGTGAGGCACTTGCCTCAGGCACAAAATTTAAGGGGCACCAAAAAACTCAGTAATCAAGATAAATAATGTTTTACGCAATATTTTTAAAAATAAGAATTGATGCCAACCCCTCCCCCCCAAATTTTAATAAACACAGGATCGGTATTACTGTTTCTTCCTTTTGCTTGGGCTTCAGTCCTGGCCCTGCCAATGACTATGCAGCCATGGACTAGTTACTGTCCCTCTCTGACCTCAGCTTCCACCTGTAACGTGAGCAGGTCATGAGGGATGCTCTGTTGATAATTCCTTCCTGCCCCGACAGTCTAGGATTGAGGACAGGAAGGATGTCTCCATGTGAGGGAGGTCTGGACAGAAGAAAGCAGGCCTGGAGCTCAATTCTCCCACCAGGTCCCCCCACCCCACCCCCATTGCCATCAGAGGAGTGTGGCCTGGTTAGGAGAGAAACACAGGCTTGTTCTTAAACAGTCCATATTTTTCTACCCTGCTGCTGGTTTCTGTGGCCTCACTGGGTGCCAGGGCGGATTGGAACAAAAATAGGTTTGCTGACTAGGAAGGAAGTAATGATTTCAGGGTCTTCTACCAAATCCTGGCCAAGACAATGCCGAGTTGGCCTTTGTCACCACTGTGCAAGCACCTTGAATGGGCGTGGCATCGAGTAGGTGCTTAGTGACGATGAAGTTTTGTTATAATCATCTGTCCCATTGGTACAGAACTTTCTGCATTCAGAAGAGTTACCTCCCTTGATCCTCACAGCACCTGTAGCACGGAGGCAGAGCAAGGGTTCTGCCACTATCTTACAGATGAGTAAACTGAGCTCAGAGGGTTTAAATACAAAGACACAAGGCTAGAGAGTAGAGTCAGAAGTTATTCTGATCACCTGCCCAGGCTTTGGCTGTGACTTTGGAGCCATCACTGTGTGAAAGGGAAGAAGGGGGATGTAGGAGAGAACCGTTGGGGTTCAGCCCCTCAATCCACAGGTTAAGAGCTGCCTCAGATCCTGTCCCAAAACCTACTGTGTGGACATGGTCCAAGTGGGAGGGACTTTTGAGGGGACAGGGCCCTGAAGGAGGTGCATTGTAATGAGAGGTCATTTCTGACCTCCAGACCTTGCTTTAAGAGCACGACCCCAGTTCTCACTCTGCTGAGTACTGGTTCAGATTCAATCTGGGGCTGACAAACATGTGGCAGAAGGACCCCTTTTCCTGGGGAAAATAAAACCCTTCTGGGGAAGTGCAAGGGGGCTGCCTCCATCCAGGGGGCAGCTCAGTGGAGGGTGTGCCAGGCTCGGCCGCTCTGCGAGGAGGGTCCACTCTTCTGTGCTCAACGCAGCTGCCTGGGAATCCAAATTGGGGGTGTCTGTTTCTGCCCTCAGCTCCCTCATCCCACCCCATCCCCAGGCCCAGACAAGCCCTGAGTTTGGAATCAAAGGGCTCTGCAACTGGAAAGAGCCTTAGAGACTGCCTAGACCAGATGGGTACACTGAGGCCCAGGGAGGAAGGGGCCTTGCCTGAGGTCACACAGAGTTAGGGCAGGCCGGGAGCCCAGGCCTCCTGATAAGCTGTCCATCACTCCTTCAGGAACCCACACTGACACTGCCATCTCTTAACCTTCTTTCCAGTTTTCCAAAGAGGACAAGGGAATTTACAGAGCGACGGTTTCTGATGATCGCGGGGAGGATGATACCATACTGGACCTCACAGGGGAAGGTAGGAACTGGCAGTGGTTGAGACGGGGCAGGAGTGCTACAGAGGGATCACCCTGGAACAAGACACTGTGATACAACTTGTGGGGCAAAGTGTATGGGATCCCCGTGTCACCTGAGAAAATTGAGGCATAGAGAGGTGAAATGACTTGCCCAAGGTTGCACAGCTAGTCAGTGGCAGGGGCGTGGTCTGTGTGACTCTGCCACCATGTTCACTGCAGTCTATCACAGTGAGCCCAGGCTTGGAGACCCGAAGCCTGAGATCACCCTGCCCCACAAAGGGCCCAGGTTCCTCATCAGGCTGGTTGGCTCAGCCTACAAGAAAAGTATTGGCCTATTTGTTTTCCATCCGTGGTGCCCCCTCTGCCCCTCCCATCTCTGAGTGCCCTGGACCCTCTCCCACCCTCAAGCTGTGGGAGTCATCCTGCAGAGTTCCCTGTGCCCTGAGAGAAGCTCATGAGCTCCACCAGCCTTTTCCAATGGCATGCCCACTCCTGGCACTTCCCTGGGGAAGCCCACACCAGCTGACCATTCTCTGTCTCCCTCCAGCCCTGGACGCGGTCTTCGCTGAGCTGGGCAGGATTGGTGGTAAGCAAGCCTGCCTCTTTGCCCAGCCCTGCCTTGATGCCTAATGGCCTTCAAGGGGCCAGCCTCCCACCAGCCTTGGCTACCATGGGTGGGTGGGAGGGTTTAGTTTCCAACCTCAAAGACTGGGAGAGAAGCTCCTGCCTCCTCACGGCACTGTGTTCCCCCCACCACATGCCCCTCCCCAACGCCGAGCAGGGACTGGCCCCCAAAAACATGCTGCCCAAAGGTCCTCAGGGAAGACTCACCTTTCTCTTCTGTCTCTCCAGCCCTCTCTGCGACCCCACTGAAAATCCAGGGGACCGAGGAGGGGATCCGGATCTTCAGCAAAGTCAAGTACTACAATGTGGAATATATGAAAACCACCTGGTTCCACAAGTAGGTCTGCCTTGCCCTGGGAGCCCTAGCCAGGCTGGAGGGGGCCCAGCGCCTGCCCCACAGGGGCTTTCCTCCCTGCTCAGTCCTCCCAGCAGAGTCCCATCCCACAGTTTGACAGAGACGAAGGTCTCCCCACTGGTCCCACTGTCCACAGAAGGAGCTGGGGATAGGAATCAGCAGTCAGATGAGTAAAAGGGCTTTCCTGAGACTCCCCAGGGAAGGTGGGACTATGGTGGTAGGACCATTTTTCTGGAATATCCATGGCCATGGTAGGATCTTGGTCTCAGAGAAGCAGCTGGGAACTAGGAGAGGGAGGGATGCAGGAACGAAGAACCAGACAGTCAGGTGGGTCGTGGTGCCCATGTGGGCATCTGCAGCCTTAGTGAACTCAGGCAGCCAGGCTTAGGGGAGAGGCACAGGCAGAAGGCCTGAGGGGCTGACGACCACCTGAGGGCAGGGTTCAAAGGCAGGAGAGAGAAGGTGTCCACAGAGACTCAACCAGTAGCTCAGTGACCCTAGAGAGTTTGAGAGCATAATTTTTCCAGTGCATTTTATCACCCGCATGTCTCAGCCTTGTGGAGCAGACATTACTGCACCCATTCTATGCAGATGGCTGGACTGATTTGGTCAAGTTTTTCAAATGAGTGACAGTCAAGGCCAGATGGAATTTCAGGACAATGGGGCTCCTTTCCTAGTCAGAGTTTCTGAGCCCTGTGACTAAGCCAAGAGGTGTCACCTGTACAACACAACCCTGGGGACATGGCCCAGTTGTCTCCAGGAATGAAATTTAAGTAAAGAAGGAAAGGAGCTTAACTTTAAATGATTCTAAAGATTAGGAGAGAATAACTAGGGGAAGAAACCTTGGGAGGGTTTAAAAGTTAAAGAAGTGGCTCCTGAGGCTGGGGAAAGTGACAGTCACTGGCCCTAGAGCACCTCAGGGACCCAGCCTGCAGGACCTGTCACAAATGCAGACTCAGCTCTGACACATGGTTGATGCACCACGAGATTTGGTGAGTGAATAAATAAGTAAATGGATGGATGGATAAGGAATGGATGAGT